AGTATCATAAATGCCCAGTTTCCAAGTAGCCGTTTAACCCTGATACGATGATGATAAGAATCACATGAGCTATTGGAAATCTTATTTTCATAAAGCTGAGCTTCATAAAGGTGGGTTTTCTTTAGCAGAGTATAAATGGTAAATGAACTGTTGCTAGTGCTGGAAGGCACTCTAACAGTAAATTTGAAGAACCATGAAATTCAGGGTTCTGTGTATATATATATTTATATATAATATATATTTATAATATATATTTGTAATATATATTTATAATATATATAGGATATATATGTTTTGTGTTGTATTCTTATGCTAAGTTCTAAACAGGGATATATTTGACTCTGTAGTGAATACACATGAAGAAAACAGTTGTCAGAGTTGTGTCATCTGTCCTTTTTTAGCTACTGATTATATGCTGACAGAAGCTTTAAAGGCTTTTATAACTGTTATTTTACACCCCAGCTCTCTAGAGATTCTTAGAACTGTCAGGCTGAAGAAATGTGTGTGTTAGTTGCTAATATGGTAACATACTCAACAACGTAAAATAAGCTTTTTGTCAATATGTGATGTGAAGAAACTTATTAGCATTATGCCATATGATGGGGGTAGTAAATCTTGCTTCAGTCCTAAATGGTTTTTATTACCTGTTTTTAAGCAGGAGATTGACAAATCTGATCCTTTGCTAATTTAGGCTTTTAATAACCTCTTCTGACTCTTTAAAAAAAGTGCAGTATTCAGTGAGAAAGACAAGAGAAACTTTATGTGTCCGAAAATATTCTTGGGAAAGATGTCTTCAGAAAGTGTACTGGAGAGCGACTATAATGTTTTTCCTGATTGTTCTTGATTGACATGGGCAAACGATGGAAACTTGTGCTCACCAAAGGTAAAATACTTGTGCTGAGAAGCTTGGCACTCAGAAGTGGTTAGTGAAACTTAAAGGAACTGTAGCTAGTATTGGGTCTTTTCAGGTTAGATTTTCTTCCAGTGCTTAAGCATTGGTGTGATTATAGAGCAAAGTGCTTTTCACAGTATCCTTACACTGCGCAGGATATTTCTATACAACATTACTTTTATGAGGTATTGAAGAGAATTCAGCTATTTGTTGAAGCTTGAAAGGATGGATAAATGTAATAGCATATCCCATTTAATCTTACCTTCCAAAGCAAAGCATCGACGTAGAGGTAAGATGTAAGTATGATTAAATTAATCTTGCAGTGTTTAGAAAGCTGGTAATGGATAACACAAAGAAATATATTACTTAAATCTGTGGTAGTATTGTGTTAAGTGCTTTTAGGTGAAATTATAAACTTAATCTCATGTTTTTTCTCTTGTAGTTTAACAACACTTCAGAATTCTCTCTATCTGGGGAAAATGAATAGGGATGAAGAAGAAAGTGCTTGTTTATGTGTAGGAGAATGCAGTATCACACATTCTAAACTTAATTATCTTTATTTAATCAGAAATGTATTCCATGTTTGTTAAAGAAACAATCTTTTCTGATTTCATTAAGCTTCTCAGACATGCAGACTTTCAGCCAGGGAATGTGCTTTGTTTTGAACCAAGTCAATGATCCCTATAAAAATGTTTAACTCTTTGCCAATGTCAATATAGTTCTATTACACTCAGAAGGCCGGATAAGCTCCCTCTGGTGGCTCATTTACATTGACATTCTGTTCTTTAGTGTCTGTTTACTCAAGCGAAGAAGGCTGTTGACCCCAGGTATCAGTCAGGTATCAGTTCCTTGTGGGCTTACGTTTTAATTGAAAAACATCAATAATTTTTTTTTTTTTTTACAGAATGAAACAGCAGCATTTAAATTCACAGCAGTTTCTTTTTGTTAGCAAAATAAATGAAGTGGTGCAAGGTAACAAAGTAAGCAAATAAAATTGAATTACTTCTAAGTCTAAATTGCACAATACATGGGTAGCAATAACTTTGGAGTGGCACCCACTTACAATATTGCTTACTCTTAAACTTAGGAAATATTTGGATACTAAATAAAATTATTTAAGAATGTGAAGTCTATGGTTTTAAAATGGTTTAATCCTGTAGCTGAATTACAATTTTGAGTTAGAATGAATTCTGGCATCAGAATTCATTTAAGCTACTTCATAGCATTAAAGAGAAGCATTTAAAGAGAGTGAGCATACCTGTCACTTATGTGTAGTCAGTGACAGGAAGAAGCCAGGAGACTTCATGGCTCAAAACCACCAAGTTTAAAGTGAATTTGCCACCTCTGTAATGTTAATTTCAACAGATCCTTTCAAATTCCACACTGTTGTAGTTTAATGGGATCCTTATCATACTGGCAATGAACTGTTCTCTCTCTGAAGCAGTGAGAGAAGTATCAAAGCCAAACAACATGCAGACTGCACATAAAGTTAAAAATTTGGTTTGATACAGATTACTTCTTTTCTTAAGCTATTTTCAATAAAGCTGATTACTGAATAGAATATAAAAAAATCAGAGAAATTATAGTTATTGGAATATGAATATTTAGCCAAAGGTAAAATTCTGTCCAGCTGTTTCTGAAGTAAAGGAAGGAGGAAGGGGTCACAGGAGATGAGAATAGGAGGGAAATGGACATACTGTAGGTTTATAAAATAGAGATATAAAAGAAAGGGACAAATACAGCATAATCAGCAACAGATACCTGTAGAAATTTGAGAAGAAATGTATTATAAAATGTTTTGAATGAATATTCATTTGCATTTTAAAATTAGTATCTTACATTTTTGTACCTTAAACATTCTAGCAGCTGAGATTCACAAAGCAAGTAATCTTTAGCAAACATGGAAAATCTCTAAAAGTAGACCTTCAATATCCGCACAGATGGACATGTTTGTAAGATTTTATTTTTGATGACAAATTGTGCATTTGTCTTCATTCTTTAACAAACAATGATTGAGAGCACAATTCATAGTGTAATCTCCAATATACTGTGCACCTGCGTTACACTCTCTGTGTTAAAAACAAACAAACTTGGTCTTTTAATTATATGTTGCCAGTAACAGAAGCAGTTGGGTGAGCAAAAAATAATTTCCTATTGTGCAGGTTTTTTGGAACAGTTTCTCACTGTTTCCAAGTTCAGCATCTCCTTGATGCTGGTGGTCAGAACTTCCAAGAAGATGCCTAATTTTTTTGTAGTAAGCTTTTTTAATGGCATATGTTCACTGTGGAGGAAAAAAGGCCCACAACACTTCATGATTTAAAAAACAACTAAGCACATCACACTCTTTAAGGTCTTTATTCTGGGTAACTGAAACAGACATAGATGCGATTAAAGAGATTACTGGTTAACCTAGAAATGTCTGACTTGAGTCTCAAATTCACATTATTTAAAATGCAGAATTATTGGCACAGTATCGAAAGGCAGGTTGACTTGAAGTTTAACTAGACAGGGAAATACACACTACAGGAAAGGTCCATTTTAATACCTCAATACCACTAGTTTTCTATCAGTGCTTTTATCAAAGAGGTAAGTGATTATCATGACTAAGCAGAGCCAGGTTTCGAGATTCTTAATCCCTTTGTTCCTCAGAGGCAGGAAAAGAATTTGTCTGTAGCTTTAAAACTTTATTAAACTTCTAGGGATTTTCTTTTACATTATAATATAGTTTAAGACTAACAGCTAAACTTTGCCAGTCTGGTACCTGACATTTCTTGTCTTTGAATACTCCTAGAATAAATTTTTGAATTACAGCTGTCCTGGTAAGCAGGAGCTTGTCTTTTTTGCCTGATGCATATTCAAAATTCAGAAAAATCTCCCTGTGTACATTGGCAGCTGTTTAAACTTGCATTCAAACTGATTTTGGAATATCAGAGGCTAAAACGACATTTCCTATTAGAATTCCAAGTGCAACAGCATACAGCTAGCAATAAACATGATTTATTTCAAGGCCAGAGTAACTTCTTTTTTTTTTTAATTGACAACATATTAAAGCGTTGTTGAATTTAACTTTTGATCTAATTATTTCTTTACTATAATTTTTTCTTGCTTTCTCAATATTTATGAAAAATACTAAACTTTTTAAAGAAGTGTTAAGAGTTTCCTTTCTTCACATCTATTTTTGTAATATAGCACCTGGGACATTCTTACGTTGTTTTGCATTTTAGGGGGAGGGAGGAATGGTGAAACAGTTTTCCTTCACATTTTGCTTCTTGTAACTGAGAGAACAGAAGCTGTTGGGTGGGACAAGCTCATAAAATTGTATTTTTATAGTGAAACTACTGTAAAGGCATGCTGTGTGTCTTTCTTTGGCTTCTCCACCTGAGTTTGCTTCTGATGATGTCTTGGGAAAGGACGAGCACAGCAAAGAGTTAACTTTTTACTATCAACCTCAGAAAGGCACATTTACAATCCCTCCCAGTCTTGTCTTCCTTTTTACACCTCATTCGCTCACCACTGCTCTTCAGTTCAAGGCAGATCCTTTGACCTAAGCAGATTATTGTAGATGCATGAAGGACACAGCAAGCTAGCTGTGCTTTTGAAGGAGGAGATTTTGGCTCCAAAATAGGACACTAAGCTTTTCAGCCTTATGCTGCTTTACCTAGTCTGCACAAGGCAGTGTCTCTGGGTGCTTCATGGATTCCTGTGGAATTGGATGGGAAAGAAAAGCAGAAGTGGCAGCTGTTGCAAATGTGGGAGCCTGTGCCATTAGAGGGAGTCAATTGCTAATGAGGGCCTGCTAGACCCGGGTTTCCTTGGTTTCCATGACAGTTATTAGGTAACACAGAAATTGAATTGTCTCCCACAATGCTCCTGAGTGATAGTGAGGCAACGGGGTGCTCCAGGGATGCAGCAGAGGAGTTATGACGTGCAGGAACTCATCACTCTAAGCACGTGAAACTCTGGATTATTGTGCCTTACTTCTTTCTTTGCTGTTTCTTGTTTGTTTGCAGTTTGTTTTGCTTTACTTTTTTTTTTTTTTTTTTTTAAATGGAAGACCATGGCATGTGCTGCATGGTTTCTTAAACAATATTTCCCCCTTTTTATTTAGAGCTGAGCTTGGCAAAGCAAGGATATGAACAATTATACAGGTGGGCTACTCAGGGGGAATGAAGATATAAGGCATCCAAACAGGTACTGGCATTCTGAAGCACTGTAAAAAATGCCCCTCCAACAGATTTCTGTAGTTCCAGTGCGGGAGACTGCCAGCAATGGGAGAAGTTCAATGGGCAGAAACAAAGAGAAGAACAAGGAAGTCGAGGTAAGAGGAAGGTTTCGATTTGCTACGGTACAGTGAGTCTGCTTTTGGTAGCCAGTGGGTTTGGCTGCCCAGCAGGATGCGACGTGCTGTAGCATTACACAGTACACACGGGTGCAGCATGCTTTAGCACACTGAAGCAAGCTCCTATGATAACATCTTAGCATTACATAGAAAATTAGTGTATTTGAAAAAAAAAAAGAGAAAAAGAGGAAATTGCAAACTCCATCGGGAGTTTTTAACATTTTTATTTAATTGCATGTAGTCTGCTAGTACTGCCAGTCATTGTTCCTTATAAGCTGTCACAAGTAGCAGCTGATTTAGAATCGGCTGGATAAAAAAGTAGTTTTAATGAGATTCCTATCTCTGTTTCAAACCAACAAAAATACCATGCTAAAGCCTTTCTAATGTGTGTGTCATTCCTGTATGCATGAGAGCTTACTCTGTATTAACATTTAAAAGGCATCAGCATTTTTTTTTATCACTTGACTGACTTTCTTTGATTCATAAACATACAAAAGTGTTCCATCAGTAGAAATTGTGTCCTGTTGTTTTTCAGTTAGGAAGAAACTGTAGTTTCATATTATATTAATAGGTAGAACAAAAAATACAGGAAATCAGTGCAATTTTAATGGTCGTCTTACCTGTAGGAATCTCTTTTGCTGTGTGTAGATTAAACATGCATTGTGCAAGACCAAAAAAAAAAAAAAAGAGGCATCCCTTTGCATCTGAAAACATAAGTAGTCTGTTTATAGATGTAGCAGTAAATGTACATAACATAGACATCTGCTTTTTACAGACATGTTTCTTGTCTCTTGTTTTTCTTCTTGCTGAATGGGAAATAAGGAACTATTGGGAAAACAAACAATGTCATAAGTATTATCTAAGAGACTGTGTGACAGACTCACCCCTGAAGAAAGAAGTAGTGTTTTATGTTTCTTGGGGCTTTTTGGCATGGTCTTCAGGATGCTAAGTTCAACAGATGATTGATACTTATGTCTGTGTGATTGGGGAAAAGTATTAGTAAGCTTGCAGGCTGTTTTTTTCTTCTTCAAGATACCCTTTTTTGCTCAATATTTGGCTTCAACATGTTCACTGAATGTGATTATTCTGTGGTTTGTTTTTTTTTTGTTTGAACACCTATGTATAAGCAATGTTTTTCTGAAGTAGTCTGCAGTTGCTTATTGGTAGCACTGTTTTCAGAGTTCATAACATCTAGAGATTTATGTTCTGAAATGGGAACTTTTTGCTCTGGTTTGTTTTTATTCTTCCATTGATTGGTTTAAGATGAAGGTTCAGGTGGAAATTGTTCTTTCTATCAAGACTCAAGATGTGGAAAGCAGAAGTGTATAATGTTACCCAGCTTAAAGTGCTTTCTTGTTTTAATTTGAATGTGAGAGTTAACTGAAGAATACATGGAACATTCATACAGGGGTAAGATGAGTGTGATAGTTCATTTAGGGGGATGGGAGAAGTGTGGAGCTTCTGAATCGCAATTGTCTTGTGCTTTTGTAGGTGTTTTTCCCTGTGAGGGCTGGGTTGCATAATTTCAGCAAGATCCCAGAAAACAGTCTTCTCTTGAAAGCTGTAGAAGTTACAGCAGAATGAGCAAATTGGCTGGGATAATTAATTTCCAGAAAAGTCTCTTCTGAAATTAATATCAAAACCCAAACAAACAGCAGCAACAACAGCGAAAAATCGCACACAAAAAGCCCACAAAGCCAGAAACCAAACCAACTCCACAAAACACCTAACCAAACTTAAAGTATATGCTGCTTGTTGAAATGTATTTGCCAAAGTTCTCTTTGCTGGGCAGAGCCTAATCATCTTGGTCAAATATCTGCTCATCCGTTAAGGCTTATGGCTATGATTTATACATTGTAGATCAAGTGATAAAGACTAAAGTTTCTCACATAGTATCTATAGTTTATGTAAATTATGATGATGTCCAAGGTTGTTTTGTGGATGAAATTTGGGAGTAGTGAACCAGCCAGACAGAGGCCATCTTACTGCTAAGACACAGGCTACTCAGGCTGATGTTGATGGTCTTCTATTCCTGCAAGTCCTACACAGTATGGTCCTCATAAAGAGAAACGTCCTTGCTTGTACTCTGTGTTTTCTGTCTGTGTTATTTCTGATTACTTGCTTCTTCTCTTTGAGTAGCAGGCTTTCTGAGGTGAAAGCTAAGTGAAATAGTTAAATGGGCTTCCTAGAGCAGTGAAAGCATCAAGCTGGTTTAGGTCCAGTGAGACATGAAAAAAATGAAATGTCTGAAAGGTCTTTCAATTGCTAGGATAACAATTATTAGGACTGTATGCCAAATTCTGTTATTTCTAGAGAATTTTATATGATGTCCTTACAGCATCATGAAAATTTATGAAGAGTTCGCCTTCTATCAAATTGCAGAGCTTGCTGCAATGAACGATTTCCAAGTTCACAGTGAATTACGCAAATCTAGCTGACTTAAGAACCCAGTTGCATATGATTCATGATGCAGCTCATTCTGTAATGCTTTCCTGTGGTTTTCGATGCTCAGACATGCTTTATCTGAAAGTTTTAGTGTGTACCTATGCACATTTACAGGTGATTGCCAAATACTGGTCTGTTTTTAAGAATGTTAAGTGTGGTATGAATTATGAGCCCCAAATGGATATCTGACCTATATTCGGAGTAGAGGCATGATAATAATGGCTAGAGGGAGCTTTTTAAGGCAATTTTCTTATGCAGTATCATTTGCAGGAGCAAAAACAATGCAGTCTATTCCTGTAATTTTGGGGTGATTTGCCTCAAGATTCAGTGGAAGTTGTAGCTGACAATGAATTTTGCATCAAATTTAACTATAGAGCTTCTTTGTATGTAATCTAAAGATGTAGTAGGCTTTTTCCACAATGAAACAATGAAAATGCTTAGGTATAACCAGTTGCAGCAGCTCTGCACTGCATTCGATATGCAGGTATAATCTTCTGCTAGCTTATTTCACTGATTTTAGGAAGGCTTAACTGTCATTAATGCTACTTGTTTTTCTCATAACATTTAAGTGAACGAGCTCTCTTTGTTTCTTATTCTTTTACTGATGCTCTTGGAAAGGGCTGTTGCAGAAACAAAGACCAAAGTGCATAGTATGCGATGCATTTGTAGCATGGTGTGAACTATTGAGTAGTTAATTCAACTTTCTTTAGTAGTTGAGAAAAATCTCAAGTTTACAGTGAAATGTGTAATTGTGTTTCTCTGATGGATAAAAACACTTGGGTGTCTGTTTTTAAAACAGATTGTTAGTGGAACTATTGTTCAAAGTAAACAGTCAGTTACCTAAAAATCAAATTATGCCATCAGGACTCCAGATCTCTAAAGATTTTGAAAACAGACTTCAGTGCCTTAAGACCAGTGCCATATTAACATATGTACCCCACTATATATGTATATAGTATTTCAACAGTTATGTTGGACTTCTGGTTGGTTTTCTCACTATGATAAAAAAGGCTAAAGAAATGCATGATTATTGAAGAACGCGGTTGATTAAATGCCTGCTCTGGCTGATAATTTCATTATTTATTTGTGAGCATATACAGTGAAGTTCATAAAGTAGCCTCTTTAGGTTGTCTGTGTACATGCATAGTTATTCTAAAGTGAGTTAAGTACAGAAAGAAATTTTCATATAGTAGAGAAAACTGAACAGGGTGGCAACTAAGTGAGAATACTGATTAATGTTAACCTTGAGTTTGCAAGGGTCATAGAATAAAATGCCATGACCACTGTGGAAAAAATACGTTGAATGTGGTCTACTCAGAGTGGTACAAGTAAGTTTATAAAACAGACAATAAATGTCATGGTATGGCAGAGAAGATACTTGCTGCCAAAATAAATTTGTAGACACTATGCTTCTCGAGCTTAAGCACTGTCTTTCAAAATGCGTTACTTGAAAATTCACATGCTGTTTTTAAAAACTTTAGCATAATGAACTCTTGTCCGTGGGAAGCAAAAGTTAGGTCTGTTTATCAACGTAATAATTTCAGAGTACAAGATATCTTAATGAAGGCACTGACAGGTATGAGTCAATCTTAATTTGGTTACCTTGCAAGAATTTTCATTAAAAGATTAAAAAAAAAAAAAGCCTTTGGAGCAGTAATACAGTTTTTGGACACACTCATATGGTAGTACTACTGGCTTGCTATAGTGATGAGTGTTAATGTCTATTAACCCAAACCTGATATTCTAAAAATGTTATAAAATTTTATATTCTCTAGTCACCATTAATAAATAATGAATTTGCCATGCTGTTGTTGCTTTATTTTTAGTTTTGCTTTTTTGTTCATAACTTACTGATAAATGAGTCTATAGACTCAGTGTATTTCATTGCTCTGGCAGAGGTGATGATTAATATTAGTTTCCTTCATGTAATTTCATAGAATGTATTAAAATGCACAGAGGAATTATCTTTTTCTCCAACACGTACAAAAAAATAAGTGCTGCTACTTTACTTTTTTAATGTACTTCTTTCCCTGTCAGATCCTCACTCCAGTTATTGTACTTTGGCATGCCATTTTCTTCTGCACATTGCACGGGTCTGTTCTGTGAAGGAAATACTGGATCTGTATTCAGGTTCTGTCCTTCAGCAGTGTTTTCATATTGTACCATGTTAAAGGCAGGAAGACAGTAAGAGATCTGCAACTTTTGAGGCTTTAAATGTTATCAGAAAAATACCTTGACTCATAGAGAGATTGTGATCAGTTAGACTTGAACTTGGTGGTTTTGCTTCATGGTTTGTACCTTTGAAAAGAAATTGAGTATGTTGCTCAAAATTATGTATGCTCATTTATTGTGAAGAGCCTGCATTTCTTGTAAGCAGATCTTCTCTTTAAGTCAGAATTGAGATTGAAACCTAATGGTTATTTCAAATGCCACATTAGAGCAGCTGCTAATATTTTTTTTAACCCCAGACTAGAGTTACTGCTAACATTTACTTTAAAGCTTGTAAATAGTTTGGGAGATGTTGACATGCTTTT